AAAAAAATAGTAACTTTTTTCAATAAATTTTATAAAAATTAGTCAAATGTGCTTATATTCATATAAATCAGAAAAAAAAATTAAATCTTAGATATATAAAAAGAACATCGTTGAAATAACTTGAATCCGCAAGGGTAATTCTATACTCATTATCAATTACTTTAAATTTTTTGTTTATATTAAAAATTAATATTATAGTTACTCATTTATATTTAGATGGTATTTTTTTTTTATTAAGAAGCAAGGACAATCTCTATCAATCAATAAGAGTCAAGGACAAACAATATAAAGAAGTGTTTCCTATGCTATGACATGATCAATAAGAGTCAAAGACAGTCTCTGTCGCACGTCGGCTTACTACTGAAGAGCTCTGCATTTAGTCATGAGCAATTATACGTGACGCTTTTTAGTGTTACGAGTCAGTGGGGTTTGAAGATTTTGATTTGAGCTGAGGGAGATTTTGACGATAGAAAAACCACAACGTTGTTTTATAAAGAAGTGTTTAAGAATATTTATATTTTTTTTCTTAATTTTTTTCAATGAATTTGTTATGATTTTTACTATTGTTTATAATTTTTATTATTTTTTCATGTATCATATAGTTTTCCGTGCAAATGCACGGGACAAAAACTAGTTACTCTAGATATTACTTCTTATCCATTAAAACTGGTATAGTAGGACATTTCATATCAATGTGTTTTAATAATTTGTGAGTGGAGTTCATTTATGACACGAGTGAGAGAAAGAAAGAATTTTTGAGTAATGCCTGAAAGAAGCTATTTTGAAAAGGTTTTTGAAGCTTTAAAATTATTCTGGGAAACTGAGTGTTTTCTAAAAGATAAATAACCGGGCGTTACATCTGGCCTCGTACACAACAATATACCAACAATGTTGGTCTCCACATACATTGTCTTGGTTCACGGCCTGATCCTTGACAAGTTAAAGCAGACTGAGATTGGCCCATTTAGAGCATGTTTGTTTACAAGAATTTTCAAAAAATTTTCTAACATTTTAACTCAACCACTTTTTTTAACTCAACTTTAACTCAATCCTACTATCATCAATATTATCAATCATTCATATACACAACATCAACCTTAATTCACTATTCATCCACTCACATTATTTTAACTAACTATCACTTCAAATTATCTCTCTCCTACTTTACATCAAATCAATTTTAATTATTTTATTTGAAATATTATTTTAATATACCCACTAACACCTAACCATACCACCTTTTTAAAAATTAACAAAACCAAACCAAAAAATCCAAACAAAACCAAAAATTTTCATAAACAAACATGCTAACATCTCTAAAAAAGAAGACACGTGATTTTTTTATTTATCATGCCGGACCTAAAAGAATATTAATTATTGTTCGACAAAATATTCTAGTTGATGTACAATTAACGATCACGGCATACAGACAATTGGTGGAAAATTAAATAAATAAAATCACTTGAAAATTAATAAATCACCAATAGGTGCTTGCATGGTCTGATTCGACTAGCTAGTTAATGGCACTACAGACCCTCCTTATAATTCCATTAGGCTGTCCTGCTGGAATCTCACCCATCTTGATCATAGCACTTGCAAAATCTGAGGCAAAAAGTCTAGGGTTGTTACTGTACTGTGATACGATTGTGGCTGTTGATCCTCCGTTAAAAAGGACTTGGTCCGACTGAAGGAGGCCTTTTCTTTGCACCAAATTCTTGAAATAGTTGTTATCGAACGAATTTGGCGTCACCAGATCAAGTGGGGCCAAATTCGAATCCCCGCCCGTTTGAGGGCACCGACGCCTTCGCGTGCTTGCAAATCCGGCATCAATGTCAGTTCCATTGCTATTAATTCTGGCCCTGAACAAAAAGCATTGTGCTTGTCCTATTGTATGTGCTCCTGCAATTAATATATAATATCCCAAACATATTTGACCATTAAAAATACACGTCAAACACTATATATACGGTATTATTAATATAATCGTTTGCGAAGACGTACCAAAAAGGGCAACCATGTCTCTTGTGTTAAGTCCTTTGGTGTCGAAAGCAGAAATGAGGTTGTTGAGAGTGGCAAAGGGACTCGGAAGGTCTGTGTTCGCTTGATCACGATTGGCAGTGGTTGAGTCCCTTCTTCCTAGTCTCACATTCCATGATGGGCCACCAACCTATGGTTTAAAATCACCAAAAAAGAAAAAAAATGAACAATTAAACGGGGACGGCTACAGTCCCGTCACTGTATGATTCTGTTCTTTCAATATTGATCATTGGATCTTTTAATTTGATAGGGACCCTTAGATATAGTTAACAAATGCTGATATGTCAATTTTTTTATTGGAAGTTTATTTGGCGGAATGGTTCTGTTACAGGACCTTAGCATTTTCCCAATTAAACAGATCATATATTGATAAACACTAGTACTTCATGCATGGACAACAATATAATGTGTTTATAATGTGTTCGACTTATAACTTGATAAATTTAAATTTGAAATTGAAACGCGTACGTAGTTAGGCAAAGTAACAGTGCATGCTACGTTAAATGTATACATTTGGTGATTGAGATGGCGACTTACGTAAGCTGAGGCATCACGAGCTGCTAGCGTTAATATATCGGCACACGAAACAACTCCGGGACAAACTCGCTCGACCTCACGTTTGGCGGCCTCAATCACATCATAGCCTCTTAATGAATTGACATTAGGGAAAGCAGTCTTTTCACTTTGGATTGAAGGCGTCTCGTCTAGCAATATCGAAGCATCACAACCCTGGACAAAGCAATCATGAAAATGGAGACGAATAATCGAGGCCGCCATTCGCCTCTCACGAGCTATTGCTCCGCGGATTGAATTTCGGATTATGGTAGTTGCATTAGGGCATGTGGACTCGTAGAATGTTGAGGATAACTGTGCTTCACATTGTATGTTAAATAATAACCACAGAGAGATAACTGAAAAGATATAGGTGATGGAATTGGGTCTATTCATCATAATCCTTAAACGTCTATTTTAGGTGTTGACAACAAAAAGAAAAATTGAATTAGTTAGTTTCAAGAGAGAAGCTGATATACTGCTTTGTACGTGAAGTTTGATTGAGAAGGTGTTCAGGTGGTGAATGTATATATATATATATATATAGGTGGGCAACAAAATGGACCAACTCAAAAATTATAACGCGGGTTTACCAGCTACACCGCGTTTCGTGGTATACCCAAGAACTGAAATAAATTTGTAGTATATATATACTCAGTGCTTTGTAATTTAAATCTTGAAATTCAACTATATCACCATGTTGGGTTTGGACTTTATAATTCTAGATTTTAGTATCTGCCATACGTTATTATATGTAAAATGTCAAGTTCTCTAACATGGTGATTCAGTCAAACAATGGATGTAGGTAGTTTATGTGAAGCTGTTTAGGAAGGTGACAAGGAGACAGCTAATAATGAATGTAAAAGACAAGTTTAATTTCAATAAAATGACGCACTTACATGCAAAAGTATTTTCTACTATGGAAATGCGAGGTGTCGTGTGGCTTGGTATGAAACCAGTGGCTTATAAGATACTGATTCAAATATCTAACTAGTGTAATTTAATATTTCCTCACCTACTGTGGTAGAACCACTACGCATCCGACACATGGATTAGAAGTGGTCACGGACGATCCGACCCAGTCAAGCCCGTTGATCATGGGTTTGAGCCCGGCTCGAATTTTAATTGGGCCGAGTTAGGGTTATTTGTTTTTTTTACTATGGCCCAACGGGCCGGGCCGGATTCTGACCGGGTGAGAAATCAACAAATTTTGTATTGTTTTTTAATTTTTTTTTTATTTGTCTAGGGTCCCAGACTTGGGTTAGGCCGACCCACTAGACTCGGAACAAGACTAGGTCCGTGTGTTTTTGGGTCCCTGTTTTCAAGCCTTGCGGCCCGACTAGGTCAGCCTAGGCCGATTTTGGTCTTACATAGGTAAGTAAGACTAAGATGTATAAACGGCACGGACCTAGACTTATCTAAGATGTCCGCCTAACGCCTAGAGCGTCTAGTCTTACATAGGTAAGTAAGACTAAGATGTACTAAGATTTATAAATGAAATGAAAAAGCAAAATTTCAAACATTTGAAAAGGAATAAGACTAATAAATAATATATAATGAGATAATATATAATGAGTAATGAAGAATAAATAAAACTATAAAGTTGTATTTCCACAAAACATATAATAAACATGTTGAGAATTTAGATCTTATCACAGGTCTATGAATTTATTAAGATGTAACATGTTTAATTTAGTTGTTCCATAACATCAAAAAAGTTGAGTTTTTGAAGAAATAGAAAAAGGGAAATGAAGGTCCAAACATAATCTTCTTGGCTAAGTGATACAACATAAAACTTCATAATCCTAAAATTCTAATATATACTAAAGCTCAGATATAATCACCAATTATGAACGGACAACTCACCAGCTTCTAAAATAAATAAAAAATTAAGATTTATGAAAATAATATTTGCCATACACAAATAACAATATCAATTGTCGATAATCTTCTTGGGTTCAAGTAATAATGGTGTTTAATAAAAAAAAATAAAAATAAATTATAGCCATCGAATCGGATGATCCAAAACAACCAAAAAAAAAATAAAAATCTTACACTCATTAAGGGTAATTTGGACATTACAACTACACATCCAACTAACACGTTGATCAGTGGGTCCCATGCCACCTCCCCACCCATACAACACATGCCACGTCACACTCATCTAACACACACCACACACGCGCACACACACATATAAAAAACATGCACATACACATAAAACAAACACACACACACACACACACACACACACACACACTCGTCCACACACACACGCGCACACAGCTCAGGCTCTCTGACTGCCAGCTTGCCTCTGCCGTTCGTCACATCGCCATCGCTGGTTCTGCCTGACGCAGCCTCCGTCTGTCACTGTAGACGCCGCCGTCGTACGTCCTCCATAAAACCGCCGTCTGCCGCCATCCAAGTCCCGGCACAGACAGTCCGTCACCCGCCGACTACCGTCGACACATGTTTGACCGACAACTTAGATGCAGCCAAAACGACCGCCATGTTCAACCTCGCTGCAGTCTCGCCGTCTACGACATCCTTCACCGGGAAGCTCCGTCGCACACCAGCCACGGCCCGCAGACGACTCTGTTGTCCTTTATCAACCTCGCCGATTAAGGTACATCGGTCGCCGGCACCGAAAAACAGAGGTCCAAGTTCGGCCGCCATTAATGGTGGGTTTAAAAAAAAATCTCCTCGTCGGCCCTGATGCCACGACGGGAGTGTATACATGGAGGACGGCAACAACGCCGCAGTATGCATCGACACCAACAACGCCGTCGTATGCATCGACACCGGACATCGCCCGCCGGAGGGGCTGCCGGAGCGGACAAGTGGTAGGGTAGATGACACATTTTGGGATTAGGGTCTTTTTTTAAAATTATATATTTTAAAAGGACTTTATTGCAATTTAATGAATTTTGATTAATTCAATTTGATTCATGTGCCAAATCTTCAACTTATAGAAAGTTTAATAGATGCATATTAATTGTAAATAAAATACACAATATATGGTATTTAATCACAAAAAATATAAATACAATGTGATAACACAATAGTTTTATACGAAATGCACATCAATGATTGATAGATATATAGCACAATAGCGACCAAAATTCACCGAACTAATTTTTCGGTTTGATTTTTTATATGTCGGTTAAATTATTTGTTTTTAGTTTAAATTTCAATTTTCTCGATTAGATGTCCGCATTGTCTTTGAAAATAACAAAACCGACCGAACTATATAAAAAATTACAATTTTTTATATTCTTTTATATATATTATGATATAGGATATTATACTAGACCGGGTTTAATAGATAAAAAAGGAATATATTGAAGAATAAGCCTACACATGGCCAGGACACGTGGCATGATGCTATTGGACAAGCCCAACTTGGGCCATAAGGTACACTCCTCCTATAAAAGGGGGCTAAGGTATCTCATTCTCTCACTCTCTCTACATTCATAATTATACTTTTGGGATTTGGAGTGGTACTTACTTGAGCGTCGGAGGCCCGACGCTGGGACCCCTCCCGGCGTTGGGTTCTTGCAGGTCCGGTGGCAGTTCGAGTTGAAGGAGCCCAGGTGAAATCTAATTCACTTCATTGGCGCCATCTGTGGGACCTGTTAAAAAAGCCAAACGGAGTTCCGACCGAAAATTTGAGAAATCTTCTAGCATGCTCCTTCTTCTCCACCGGCCGCCGCCACCGCCGCCGGCTGCCAGAAAACGTGCTCCGATCGGAAAATTCTTTACGTCATTGGATATATCTCTTCGAGGTGGATCTCCCCTTAAAATTTCATGCGAAAATTCCTCCGGGAAGGTTGTCAATTTTTGCGGTCAAAGTTTCCAGATCTAGCAAAATATTAGTCAAAATCGGACATTCAAATGCGTTTTCTCGACGATCCGTGAGGGCTATGGAAATCCGAGGGTACCACCGGAATCCCCTCGACGAGGCGAATCTACAGAGCCTGACCTTCGCCAGACGCTGAAGCTGGAAGCCGTCGGCCGCCGCTGCCTCCGCACCAGCCACCGCAAAAAATTCTTCGATCGGGAAAATCTCTACATCACCGTGAATCTCTTCTCATGCTCGTCTCGCCCTTAAATTTTCAAGAAAAAATTTCCCCTTAAATTTTCAAGCAAAAATTTCTTTGGGAGGTTGGTCAATTTTGCGGTCAAAGTTTTGTAGATCTAGAGAAAATTTTGGTCAACCGGTCATCTTCCTCGATTTTCCGACGATGTCCGACGACTTACTTGAAACTGGCAGCACCACCGTAATCTTCTCTCCGAGTCGCATCCTCGGTCGATGTTCTTCGCCGGAGCCGGAGACGTCTTCCGGCGACCTCTGCCCGGCGAGCCATCGCCGCCATGCTCGCAGATCCGCCTAGCGCAGAGCTCTATGCAGCCCAGCCCATCTCCACACCTCAGCTCAGTGCACGGTCCAACGGGAGGGAGCCCAGATGATGGCCCGCGTCCGTGGAATCTGCATCTATGAAAGGCCCAACCCGCGGCCCATCTTCAAGCCCAGTGGAGAGATCCACATCGAGCAGCCCAGCAGTGAAGGAAGGAAAATCGCGGGCCGCGCCCAGCCCGCTTTACTTACAGGTGACGGCCCGCGCGAGCCTGCTTCTCTCACCGACCCCAACCCGCGTGTGGCCCTGTCTGCAGCCCGCGCGCCTTACCGTCCTTGGCCTCCGAAGACTAAATCTGGCAGGCGAGCGGCCCAAGCTCTCCAAGCGCCCTGCCCGACCCATTGTGCAGCCCAGTGAGCTGTTTTGGTGGCCTAGCGAGCAAATACCGTCCAACAGTGGCCTAGACTGGCCTAGTTTGGTCCAACAGTCACGTTTCATGCCCAAGACTAATTTGGGAGGATTTGACGCGGACGGTAAGGTAATTTGAGATATTATTTTCACGACGGAGGTATGTGACTAACTAATATTTTGAGACTTGAGGATTTAAATTGATGAAAATAGAAGATATTATGTGATATATTTGTGGAGAATATATGATATATTCGTGGAAACTATTCGATATATTCGTGGAGGCTATTTGACTTATCTGAGAAGCATTATTTGGTTTATTGAGGGGTATTATTTGACTTGTTTGTGGAATTATTCGACTTGTTCGAGGAGAATTATTCGATTGCTCGAGATATTATTTGATTTATTCGTGGTGATATTTGATTTGTTCGAGAGGAATTATTTGATTCGTTCGAGGAATTATCTTATTTATTCGTGGAGATATTATTGGGTATGATCGTGGAGGTATTTGATTTGTTCATGATGATATTTGATTTGATTGTGGAATTATTTGATTTTGCTCGTGGAGATATTGTTTGACTTATTTGTGGTGATATTATTTGATTTAATCGCGGAGAGCTTATTTGATTGAAAATAAATGCGAATCGTAATTTGGAATTGGGGACATTTTGTGGTGGTGCTTACCGTGTGTTTGGTGCATTCATCTTTGGGCTTGAGAAATGGATTAACATTATATGATTTGATATCTTGATATATTCGGAACTTCTTATTTGGATTT